GTTCGTCCCTTTCTCTTATTACGTCTTTCTTACTATCTATCTCTTTCTCTCATCAATAGAATACGAGCATGGTCAATTAGAGTTAGCAGCGTCATGTTGTCGAATCTTCTATAGTCTTCGTTTTCTTTCTTTTTTTTTGCTACAAAGTCATGAACATAAGGAAAATAGCGAAGAAAAAAATATATTTGCATAAAAAGAGGAAATGAACGACAACCATAATAAATGAAAGGAAAATATAAGTTGTGATCTACAAAAGTCTCATTGGAATGAGCAATTTTTTTTGTATGTATAATAACTAAAACTAATCGATGATTGAAAACAATGATAATAGTATAATGTGCGTAAAAGTAAATGTAAGATATCTAATTAACAACAAGATGTATCATGAGACCATAAGAATAATTAGATAATTGTCCTAATTCACAGATGTATATGTTTTCATCACAATGAATAGACAAAGTTATAAACAATAAACATATTGACAAGGGTAGGTAATGAAGCAAATCATTCTCATGCTTTATTTCTTTGATTAAACTAGTCAATTTATACGAAAACTATGATTATGATAAATCATTTTTTGACAAATGAAAGTTAATTTTACAATGATCTCATGTTTAATTGTCTATTATTTCAATTTTATTATATTTTAGAAACTTTTCAATTTACTTAAGTCCAACTTACACAGAGGTTTTTCTAAATATAAAGTTTCAATGAAATACTATTCTCAACAGATTTAATATTCTATGGATTCTAATTGCATTCAAACTCTAGTAAGTCAAAAGAAATTTAATATTTTAAAGATATAAAACTGAACTATTCAAAGGAAGAAAAAAGAAAGAATACCCTTGCCTTTCAGCTACCTGGCGATATGGGATACTGCTAGCGGTAGATTTAATAGTCTGATAGCTTCTTTATGTCGAATATTAGCTGTAGCTTTGAACAGAAGGCCAATCTGACGCAGAGATCTTGCACTCAATTGCTTGAGTTCTCAATACACAGTGACTAACTGTAACTGGTGGTGTATGTCACAAAGTAGTCAGCATGCTGTCGGGCAGACGATACGAGACAAGTAGCCATTAGTAGTTTGTCCACGGTCATTTCGTGACTGGTGATATTGAGCTTATCACACAGTACTTTGTCGATATGTGTCGAACGATGTAGCCACTCAGTTACGGCGATTGTATTCAACGTCTAAGAGCATCTTGAAAACTATATACTTATTTATACCAATTAGTGATTTACGTGTAATGCATTTAATACTTACGAGGAAACATATTTAAGTGTCCTCTTCCTAGAAACGAGATAAGACCTAGTCTATCTTGTAGAGAACTTTTTGATGATTACAAATATCGATATTTTAGCTAACACCGATCGAATCTTTTAGAAACTCTAGGAATATATAATGTAATTTTTCTGTAAGACGAAAATTATCATGAAAAATCAAGTATCTCAGAATTATCTGCAAAATATCACGTTCTGTAGAGAATTCTTTTCTGATCATTTTTGTAAGAAAAATATTTTCGATTTAATTAATCATCAGAAAAGAATTCTCTATAAAACATAATATTTTTTAGTTTTTTTGTGAGATACTTGATTTTTCAGGAAAATATCTGCCTTACAGGAGAATTACATTATATGTCTATGGTAGCTAAGATATCGATATTTATGATCAGCAAAAAACTTTCTACAAGATAGACTAGATTTCATATTGTTTCTACGGAGAATACACTTAAAAATGTACCCTCGTTAGTTAATAATATATATTATTGAATAAACTCGTCTAAAAGATTTCTTTTATTTATTTCTACTGTAACTTTATTTTATTCTAATTATTTCATACATGTCTTTATAGTAAAAGTGTTTGAAAACCTTACTTGTTTCTTCATTTTCATCAGACAGTAACATCTCTGATAGTAATGTTTTTATCTCATTCGAGCATTTAATATCTAAATGTATATATATATTTCTTTTGTTTCGTTTATATGCAAGACACATTTCATTCTTTTTTAATTAATTCAATATTCTAAGATATATATTGTCATGTTAGAAAGATTCATTAAAAATGAAAATTATGTCTCCAAAGATTTAAATAATTAATATACACAACTCGAAAGAATATGAAAAAATTAATTTTTTAGCTATCCTATATCAACAATTTTTTCTTATCCAATTATTTACTAAAAACAAATTCGAGTTTATTTCTTACTAATAAATTCTTCTAACTATTTTGCATGCCTTTAAAAGTTTTTTTTTCATCTTTTAAAACGATTCTTGAGAAAGAAATTTTACTCATAGATTATCATCTAGTAGTCTTTTAATCATCTTTTTTTAGAAGGAAGAAACTTCTTTGAACAAAACAGATGATTATTTCATGAAATTTGTTTTGTCTTTTCGTTATTGACAAGATATAAATTCAATAGATTTTTCGTAACAAAAAGAACGTATATAAAAGAGAAACTCCGAAAGTTTTTTCGCCTGCCTTTTAGACAACTATCCGACAATTGCTTTTAGTGTTGTTTTCCAAAGTATTGTCTTTCACAACCAATACATTCGTACATTCGATTAGACCAGGTCATGGAAGTCATTTTTGAGATTGTCTTGTGTGAGGTCATTTATAGCTTATTTTAACACAGTTAACATTGCATTGGCGATGTTGAATTCCATTTCATTTAGTTGATATTTGAGTTTTGAAGGTAGAAAGAAATAATACGAGTTCAGATCTTCGCGAATATGCAAGATTTGGATGCGGTTTCATATGATAACCTATCAAAAATTCGTGAATATTTCAGGCTTTCCATGATCTTGTATTTTCATGATGCAGACTCAGACCTTAAAGATCGATCTTTTATTTCTCTGGTGATACAGTCTGAAAACTTTCGCTTGGCAGCTATTGACAGGGTAACTTTCGTTTAGTAGATCGTAATGGTATGAACTTGATAAAACTTGATTTCGTGCAAAAAAATTGACACATTTCATTTGTTTGAGCTCTTGCTTCGATGAGTTGTGATTATTCATGAATTTTTTTTAACATACAAAGTTTGTTGTTCCTAAGGGTTAGCAAGCGATACAACAATAATACACACTCCTGGAGAAGAGTCTTCCCCTCTCCCCCTTGTTCTTTTTATGTAGAACCATTTTTTCTCTCAAGGGAATGTTAGTTACAATAATGACTAAAGTATTTTATTGTAGTGTAGTGTACCATTTGTGACAATATGCTTCAATGGAAAATATACGTCTTTCAATACAATGGAGCAACAGTACAAATCAGCCGGGTGGCAGAGTGTTTCACGACTAGACTATCTCTGTTTTTGTATCTGCTAACTGTTTTACTGGTTTAGATTATTAAACTCTTCGTCGCCGACTTGAACCTCCTCCGAGAATGCAATATAGTCGATTATACAAATACAAATAAACTAAAACTAGTAAAACATTCAGAAAATATTAAAGAAACACAAGATAACCCAGTCGTAAAATATTCTATCACCTAACTCATTTTGTAGTATTGGCCGATTATATTGAATGATGTACATTCTTCATTGAAGCAGGTCGTAATCAATGATATCCTACACTAAAATACAGTACTTAAATTATCCTTGTAATCAGCGTTCACTTGAAACCAAAGGGGTTCGATATGAAAAGAATCTGAGGGAGGAAGAGGAAAAGACTTTTGTCCATGGGTGTATATTACGTATCTATTTGAATAAATGTTCAATAAGAACGATGAAAGAGAAAAGAAGATAAACAATGCTTGATGATCGTCATGAACAATGTTTTGCAAGATAAAAGAAATAAAAATACGAATAAAAGAGAGTAAAGTCACATATGTATATGTGCTATATAATAGTGAGATGATGCAGAAAAAGAGAATGATGTTGATCGATCAGATAGAAATAAAATCCCGAATTATGTTCGCTATCACAGTGTTATATTTTTATTTTATTTTTTCATTTGTTAATGATTTTGTCCGAGTTAATAATATAAAATTTTATTAAACGATTAAACTAATTAGTTAAAGTCGGGAGGAAAAGAAAACATTTCAAGATCAAATGTTCAAGTATGGATAAGAAATTTTTAAAAATATCATATTGTCTATTATGAACATTAAATGAATGTAATAACATATAATTAAGTCTGTTAAGCTTTTATTGTTAATCTTTTAGGAAATTTGCTATTGATTATTTATGAATTAGTTTGTAACAGTCCAAATTTCGATAATTAGATTCTATTTTTATCATTATGATGAAACTATGATCTACTATTAATGGTAATGTAGAATACAAGGTGACAATTGATCCGTCGAAATCTATTTAGTCAATGACGATTCAATCGAATATGAATTTACTTTCAACCATCAATGAGTTAATACATGCACTAATCAAGTACAAAACTTTGTATAAATTTTAAATAGATAAGTATAATTAAAATAACTACTGATGAAAATAATGCTCAAAGTGTTCTCTATTCATTCTCATGTTCAATTATTGCTGAAACAATATGAAAAGTTTCTTCGATTACAACAATTGGAGAATCATCGGAATGGGTTACATCTTCAATATTGAAAAGTAATCTGTTGAAATTAATGAAACAATCTGATTAGTATACGATCTGAAGGTAATAAGTTCCCTCATGCTCATACCAAATGAGCATAATTTTCATTGCAAGTTAAATCATTTTACAAAACATATTTTGAAAAGTATTCTCGTCAAAATTCAAATTGTACGTAGAAAATGTTAAATCACTAATCTAAAATAAATGCAATGATAAAACGAAACTCGAGACTTCTAAGTCTGAAATTTTGTATATAATCCTAAATATGTCTATGCAATGTATTAGAATAGTTGCATTGCAATTACAGTTTTTAGAAGAATTGAGCAAAAAAAAACTTTTAACGTATCGTAAATATTTCTATTAAATATCTTTTAGACTTTTTGTTTTTATTCATTTTGAATGCAAAAAAAGAAGAAGTAACGAATAGTTTTGAAAATCATTAAACCAATAACTTAACAAATAGATTTTTGATCATTTTCAACATAAAGTGTATGTCCACTAATACGAGACATAAGTGCATCAACAAAATCATGTTCTTTTGGCCAACGAATTTTAAATTTTTCACGTAATTCAGTTTCATCTACACTGTCACTAGTAGCTGTCATAATAATTAAACGATGTGGAATTACAGGATTTTCACCATCACAATAAGCAAATAAAAGACGAAGTCGTTCGAATGCATCACTTGATGAATTATCATCAATATGACGTAATAGAACAGCTCGTATATCACCACCTGCACTAAGTAAATATTTTAAATTTGAATCTAATCGAAGTTTACCACCACGATGTGATTGAAGATCAATTTCTGTTGATATCTAAAATAGATAATAATTAATTTAAAAATTTCTTTTGAGATAATAGATAAATAAAATTTAACCTGATCTTTATATATTTCAGTATTGACTAGTCTGAGAATGCAACGAGCAAGTTTTGCAGCATATTCTTCATTGGATGATAAAATTAATAAAGTTGATACGCTGTCTTCTTCGTCTTGTAGCTTCGTAGAAGATTTATCAAGAATAGGTTTTAATGATGCACGTACTACATGCCGTTGATAGTGAGAAAGTGTATTATTAGGATCAACTTTTAAACGCCAGTTATTATCATTTGAAGGTGTATTCGAATTTTCATTTGAGAATAGAAATTTTATGATAATGACTATGATAACAACAATGCATAAATTTTTCCAGACCGATAAATTTTTTTTAGATGAAATATTGTTTACAATAGAGTCTGATTCATTTTTTATTATAAGTGACACTCTCTGTGTAGATGACATAGGTTGTTCATCTTCATCTTCACTGAGATTGTCGTCATTTTTATCTGATTTGACATTTTTTCTATGATGAATCTAAAGAATTTCAAGTTTTTTTTTCTAGATAAAATAATATTTATATTGTTGGAGAAAATGCTCACCTGCTTTTTGATATTCTTAATATCATCTTGTGGTTCAATTTTATCTGAATTATTTTCATCAGATTTATTTTTGCTTTCACTACTTGATGATGCTGGCGGAGTAAATGATTTTCTTCTTCTTGGTTTTGATTCTTCTATTGTAAGATCTTCGCTATTCATTTTTTTTTCGAAATAAGTCATATAAAAAAAAAGTATCCAATGGATGACTCATCGATATGCATTGAGTTCTATAAAATATTTCATTGGTTGAATACCATCTACCATTCCTATTTCTGCTTCTTTGGTGATTTACATAGAAAAAATTGTATATAAAATATATACAGCAAAAAAATTCATCTTCATTTTTATAATCGAAAGATGCAACAAGATTATTATCAAATAAAATATAATTTTCTTAAAACTGATAATTGCGATAATAAAAAAAAGGGACTTCACATGATAGAACTTATACTTATGATAAAAATTGAAAGATCAATGTTACAGTTTATAAATAGAATTTTTTGTGATTGAAAAAGGACTTATAAGAAAAAAATTCTATGAGAACTATTTGGAATGACAACAAAATAGAAATATTAATGATCAGATGAATATCCACCTAAAGTATAAACCGAAAATAAATCGAAATGCTCTGTATGAAATACATAATTAATTACTTAGAATGGACCAAAAGTTCTGATAAAATTAAGAAAAAAATAGAGAGAGATTTTTAATTTAATTTTATTAAATGTTCAAAATAGTTGCCATAATTATTTATACAAAATTCTATTCTTTCTCACTATTTCTCAAGTATTTTGTTAAACTCTTCTTCTGAAATATTTTTAACTATCTTAGAAATTGCATGAGTGAATGATTTTTCATTTGTTTGATCGGTTAAATTACGCTTGATATAATCATTTAGCCAAAAATCACATGGTGCAACGGCTGATAAAGTAGTAGATGTGACAATTATATTGATATCTTATTGTGTTAAATACTTAATAACATTTGGATGAGTGTCAAGTCGAGCATTGTCATGAAGTAATTTTATACATTTTACATTTGATAACTTTGTGTATTTCCATATTTTATTGAAAATAGTCTTGAGACAATTTCCAATATGATAGTTGTGATCTATCGTCTTGCCTTTATCTATACTATGTATAAGAACAAAGTCATTTGATATAAAGAATATAGAAAACGAAGTTTTTAGTTCAAATCTAGTTCGGCGAACAATAATTGTTGGTGATTTATCGTCACTAATCTAGATTGCGTTAATTAACATAAGCCCAATCTATCTATGGCAAATTCATGTTTCATCGTCTGTAATAATATTGTATAATCGTTATGATTTATCATGAAATTTTCACGACAAATTCTAACTCATTCTTGCTTTTGTTCATCATTGGGTTGATGAGGGATCCAGCATCATCTTCAAACAATTGTGAATTATTCGTTCTATTGTACCATGAGAGCAAGAAATCTCAACTATATAATATCATCATAAGTTGAATGTGAATCAGTGTTGATAATCTGTCATACGAATTCAATATTTACATGTATCAACTCGAAAATCGGACTATTAGATCAAAGGTCATCATCGCTATCTTCTCGTCCTTCATGAAAATGCTTTACTCATCTTGCAATTGTTCGATATGATATAGCATTACATCCCAATGCTGTCGTAGATTCCTCGTGACTTGCTTTTACATCTATTCCGAAAATAGTTCAAAATCTAATATAGTCTTGATCGAATTTATTATCGATTTTTCAAATTAATATTTTTGCTGGTCATCGTTAAAAACTTTTATATGTTATAAATATATCGAGATGGCTAAGCTATCGCATGAGGAGCAACATTAGAGATGTACATGGCAAGTATTTTTCAACCCCTGTACCAAGACTGAAGAAAACTTTCTAACCTTTATCGTACCTCATCATGGAGAGCCTCTATTTTTATCCGATCCTACTCTGCAGGACACAGTGAACAGAAAAAAAGAGAATTAAGAACAATTATTTTAATGATTGCATCTATTAACTTTATAGTTTGTACACATATCTAGCACTTCATACTGATTATCTGCCCTTATCCAACCTCCTTTACTTAAAAGATTTCTGAAAATAAAGTTTTCGGCTTTCGAAAATTGTCAATTAGCAGAATAAAAAATAGTTGTTTTATTATAATGTTTTTTAGCAAAAGTGAAACAACAATTTTTTTTTCATATAGTTGATACAGTTATTAACTATGTATTATGTAAATCTGCCATGAACTAATTACTCTTCAAGAGCCTGAAGTAGGTTATTATTAATAAATTGTTTCTAACTTTTGAATCCTTGCAGACAACAAGTAGTAAGAGTGCAGATTAGTACCTCATTTTATAATTTTCATTCGAAATTCATCTCTATGTGCGAATTACCATAGCAAATTATAAAAAAGCTAGTAAGCAGACGGCACTTACAACTCAGAAGAACTAGAGTTTTGCATATAAGAGAGACAAATTAAGACATACTTGATAATCTAAAATATTTAGAAAGTTATATAATCTGTAATGAGGATTGATTCCGCAATTTTTTTTTTTCGATAATACTGGTCATTTATAATCTGATTGGCCGACATTAGTCACAAATAACACTTAAGCTCAATTAACAGTTTTAGATGGGTAAATGCTTATATAGAAGACACAGCTCCTTTTGTTCTGTACTTTTTATTTATGTATCAGATAATATTTTGACAATGTGCAGATGATGATGGAAAAAAGTGCCTAAACTCGAGTCAACCAATATCAAAGTAAATTCACTAAAGTCAAATGTTCAGGTTTGATGCAAGTCTAGTTGTGGCATGTGAATGAGCTCAGTAATGCTATGAAATTTTTGTAAGAAAAAGAAAAAGAAAAAGAAATCACAGAAATACTTCTGGTGAGTTTATAGTGTTTTACGAGTTTCAACAATGTCTCTCTGGTATGTTGTGGAAAATTGTTTAATAAATGTTATGTCAAGTTAGAAATTGTTCTGTAATATGTCCTGAAACGTATTCAAATGAGTTTCTGAGTCTTTCATATTTTTTCAAGTTTTGTTTAAAACCTAAATTTCTCGATATTTATAGTATGTATTACAATCTTTGTTAGCTCTTGCTATGAAAATTGTTCACTTCCACTAACAACATCTGTCTCGGACGAAACTCAGAAAGATTGTGCAACTCTGTGTATTTTTACGAACGGAAAAATTATAAAACTATGAAACAAATCATTTTACACCTGCGAACAAATCTTTTTATGCTATCAATCTTTGCACGAAATTTATTATTGAGTAAAGATATGACATGAGTTTTATTACAGTGTGAACTGTACAACAAAATGAAATATAACTTTCATGTTGTATCTCTAGTCAATAGAAAATTCAATGTAAAGTTTTTACTATCTAAATAGTTCATTGGTTGTTAAGATAATATTGAAGCTTCGTCAATGTTTCTATTTTATCTTCTGACTATGGGCATTCTTATCTATATCGTTCCTATTTACCTTCATCTTGCCAGGAGTATGACACTTTTTTTTGTAGAACTGAAATAGAAGTTGTAAACAAGAGTTGGTTTGTTTTTATTTTGCACGAGATTTTTTTTCTTCTGTATTCTTACCTTTTACTTTCATTTGCATCGTGTCATTATCTAGGACAACTCGATAATATTAAACTCCGACAAAAAAAACCCATGTTTTTACGGACTCCAATAATGTTTATTACTTTTTGAAAAGTCGCCTTTTACCGATGTAAGTATTGTTTCTTTTTTTAAAATACTTTTTCGATCATTCATAACTAAAATTTAAATATACGATGCTATTTCTTACCGGAAGTTAATGATATGTGTTTTCGTAAAATGTAAATATATAAATATATGAGTACATAGGTGTTAGATCTATTCAGTTGAATATAAGTATAAATGGAACGAGGAGTTGTTGTATTTATAAATTCAATGAAGAGAAGCAGATACATATTAACATGAAACCAGTTGATGATCAACTGTACGTACCATAGAATAATGTATTTCAGATAATAAACGATTACAAAAGTATAATTACACGTTAATTGTTCAAAATAGGATTGATTGTTTTTTATGCTAAGTTTCTTTCAATGATTAAGTGTTCATTAATTAATATTTATTTCTTATGTACCTGGATATTGCCTGGCACTTCAGTATTTATTTATTTATTTATACCAGTACATACAGTTAAAGTTTTCGGTGGAAATACTTCTGATCAATCTACTCGTGATGCAGCTCAGTTATGGGTTCGAACAACATCTAATGGTGATATACTTGTATCATTATTAAGTGGTATAGCATTGTTTAAACAATCCGATTGGCATTTTCGACAAATAGTCATTCGTGTTTGTTCAATATCGAATTTTATTCATTTTGGTTGTTTTTGGTATCATCATCATTTTGTAACGCCACATCATATAGCGCTCGTCGTTGTATACTATTCAGCATTATTTATAACTTTATTAACTGGCTTAGGTTGGGGACTCAATTGGGATACTATCTTAAAAAAGAAAGCTAAAAATTCGGACCCTATACAGTTAACAGTAGAATCAAATAATTCATTTAATTCGGCTTAAAAAAGAAATGACAGTGAATTGGATTTTATAATACATGCATTCTAATACATGTTATTGTCTATTGTAGATTTTGTGAAACAGAATCTAAAAGGAGTGTTGAAGTATAGGGGTACAAGTTTCGACGTCCCGTACATCAGACTATGACAGACCTTATTGCTATACGATCAAAAACCGTATAGTAATAATGTCTTGTTCTAATATATGAACTACTTCATTATAGCATTTCTGAAACATTAAGTAAAAGGATGATGAAAAAATATATTCCAAAATAAATAGAATAAAGCAATTTCCTTGTGATTAGCAACAGCAGTTACATCGTATTTTATATTTTAATTCTACAGGGATAGCTCTAACATCTTTTTACATCATGTATTAATCGAATTAATAAGAAATAATTTATTAACAAACTTTGATATTCATAATTCTTATTTTGATGATTAAGTTTCTCTCCATTGTGAGACGTTTGTCTTCATCTCTTTTGATATATATATGTATACTTAAAGAGACTTATCTTAATTATTAGTCTATTTTTCGATACTATCCAAGCTTTTTTTCGTATTTATTTCTCTAACAAACTAAATAACGTTCATAATATTTCAGCTCATAACAACTTCGATATCTTTCTGCATTTTGACAAACACAATATATATTTTATGCGATATTCTTTCAATAAAATAAGTTTTCAATAGCTTCTTGAATTAATATTAAGTACAGAAAAATAAAAGAATTACATATATATATTATTATGCATTTATGTTCATATCATGCGAATAAAAACTTATAAACAAAAAAGAATAAATAAATAAAAATAAAAAAGACATTCAAGTGTTAACTGCAACTGGGGTAGTTTCTTCATTATTATCTAATATTTCATATCCATCTGTTTGTTGTTGTTGACTATTTTTATAAAGAATATAATGTTGTACAATAAATATAATATCAAATCCAATTGAAACAATGGCAAGACTAAACTTTGCTATTGAACCAATTATTGATAACCAATCATTATAATTAATAGCAAGTAAAAACATTTGTATTAAACTAAATATACCACCAAGAAAATCTAGTAAAATATTTCCAATAGACCATCCTTCAGTTGATTTACGACGATAATTCATTATCACTTGTGGAATATATTTTATACATGATATAATTAATTTAACATATGAATAGAAATAAATTAATAGAAGTAAATCAATACGATCGACTGATGTTAAAATTGTTGTTATAGATAAAAATAAAATAAATAAAACCAATAATATTGATGTTGTATATGAAACATGTTGTTTAGAATGCTAGATAAAGAATATTTTTAAAAAAAATTCTAAAGAATTATATCAATTTGACATACTTTAAAAAGAAGACATTGAAATATAGTAATAAATGATGCAATAAAACCATGTAAACCAAATACAACATCATTAAGTAATACAGGAATAACACCATGTGGATGTAATTTCGTATAACCATCCTAAGAAATAAATATTATTAATCATCAGAAATCTTAAATGAAGAATAAGCTGATTACAAGAAAAATAATTTATCCTAACATTATTTCAAGTATCATTATTAACTCATAAAAATTTAAAATCGAATAATCTATACATATCAACTAACTAGAAATCATTGCACGAAAAGCACAACTTATCATCATCGAGGGGAAGTACACAATAAAAATTTTCTATTCCTCTGAAATTTTCATTTACGAGGGAACCATCCGAGCTGATATTCGCCGTTTGAACTCGTATTGAGCTCACAAGGAGGTCTTGATAAGACCAGAAAGTCTAAAAAGGTTCACATTCATAAGCTAAGCTAGGATTGTTTTACTGATTTTTCGATCCAATTTTAGATATATATCGAAAAATCAAACAGTAGAATTTCGACGTAAAATTGTGCCCATAGGTAGGTCCAATGATCCATAAGATACCTTGTAAATGTCAGCCAACAAGAATGGTTTTTTTTTGTCAAGATATCAAGTTTTCGAAAACAAATAATCGTTTGCCACCGGTATTCATAATACAAAAATCCAATTTACCCGAAAATTCATTATCTCGACAAAAAAAAGATTATTTTAGGCTAAGACTTTCAAGATATTCTATGATTCATTAGACCTATCTATGGGCACAATTTTACGTCGAAATTTTGTTTTTTGATTTTTCAGTACAGTATATGTGAAACTGAATCGAAAAATTCAGTGAAACTATCATAACTTGGCTGCAAAAGCTCATGGGATGAACTCTTTTCGATATTTTCTAGTTGTGGCAGTATAATCAGAGAAAATGATCAGTTGAGACTTTTTTCCATTGTCTTCAACGTTCATGTAATTTCTAAGCTTCTCATGAGACAGTTGGAATAAATCATCATACAAAAATTATAAATGTTTGTGTTCAAATGAAAATCGCAAATTTTAACCGATTGATTTGAAGAAATTCTGTTGTAAAGATTTATAGGACAGGTTCAACTTCCTTCATCATGTTCTTTCTTCAGATTCATAAGATAGAATTCATTCAAATTTTGTTTTTCTAAAACCTATTCACCTAGGTCTATATGAAGTTGCAAGCAAAAGTTAGATATCTTCAATTGAGCAGAATCAGTTGTGTCTTTCGTGCAGTAACTCATAGATGAAAGATAGATAATTTCAACGAAGTAATATAATCAAATTCAAAATACATATTTGTTAACATTGAAAAAGTCAATACGATTTATCTCAAAACTGAATAAACATACCTGAACATTCCGCCATGAATAAAATGCAATATTATAAATTGAATAACAAAAATATCCCATTATATTCAATGCCAAAAAATCAAAACTAAGTCCAACAACACTTGAAAATTATTCCCAAAAAAAACACAGAACAAAAGAAATTATATATTTTTTTTTTCAATCAAATTTATTTTCATTTACCTTTGTCGTCGAAAATTCAAAAATATTTGTGGATAAAATGAACAAGACCATGCAATAAAAGAAAGCCAACCAATTGTATTAATAATTCGATCAAGTTTTGTACTACGTGCAATATTAATTCGAAGAAAATCTTGTTCTGTTAAACTTGAATTTAATATAGGACTTGCATTACAACCAACAATTAAATGACCTGGACGAAGACCTGTTATTTGTAAAACAATTTGCAAATGAGAAGAATGTCGAGGAAAATTAATAGATTCAAGTGGTTTGATATAATCTGTTGAGTGAGATTGATCTTCACCATAAACAAATGAAACATGAACTGATTCATCTTGTTCTGATCTATTCATTTAAAAAATAGTTCGAAAAAAAACTAGTCAAAGATGAATTTAGTCTTACACTAATTGAATCGTAGTTGATGTATTATAATCAACAGCAACAGTTAAACTTGCTGGATCGAATAATAATGCATGATTATTAGCTACTATTTTTTCGCTGCCTATGAATATATAAATGTACAATATATAAATTTTATTTCTTCGAAAAATATCTAACCTGCGACATGTAAAATAATAATAAAAGAAAAAATTAATACAAAAATTTCTTCGCTATTAATCAATTTCATTTCTTCTTGTGATTTGTTTTGTGTTCTTTTATTCTTTTCTCATATTGAACCATAATTGTCAAAATATATGACTAAGTCTTTACGAATCATATTATAGAACAGAGGTCACTAATATCAATTAAAATGACTTTTTCTATTGTTGGTTAACAATTGTCATAAGAAAATAGTTTATCTTTGTAAATCTATAATAATTGTTTGTCTACGGTTTGTTTATTAAATTTTTCATACTCTTTTGACTCGATCTTTATTCTAATTGGTAGAATCATATGGAAGTGAAAAGAGACACTTTAATCCCCATATAGTTGTTAAAGAAAAGGTATGAATATTTGTGATCATACGCAGATGTGCTTAGAACACATGACGATTACAAAAAAGCCATCATAAGCACGACATATTTTGAGAAGAGTAATAAATAATGATTGTGTTCATTTGTAATTATTTTTTATCTTAATTAAAACTCGATAACATTGATTAAATTCCTACGATAAATTGCACCTGTTACGACTAAATGCATTTTGATTTAATAGATGTATTTTTTTTAGCAGTATTTTATTATTTAAATTCTGATGGTTCAAATATTAAAAAAAATTTTGAATAAAATTCATTAGTTTTTTGATAATAGAAAATATTTACTCACTAAGACAGATTAAAACAAAAAAAATCTTATATGCGAGTGTTCTATAAAATATTTTTAATTAATAGATTTTTCTAATCCAAGCATAATGGTTTCCATACAGAAAACACATACTTATTTTTATTTCTTATTTATATGACTAATTCCATCAAAATAATCATGCTAAGACAAACTTCTTATGGCAAAATCTATTTATTATTATTTTTTTGATTAATTATTATAATTAAAAATTCACGAGCACTCAAGAAAACTTATGTTGTAACTTGAAAATCTCTTCATCAACCTATTTTCTTTGTCATCTTGATAAAGCCTTTTTAGTAATATTACAAACTATACAAAGAAATTTTTTCTTCTTTCGTTATTTCCTTTATCCAGTAAAGCATATTATTGCCTGAGTGACAAAAAAAGGCGTCCGTCTTTTTCTTTTTTGTAATTCTTATAACATCTACCATTGAGAAATCTAGCTCCTTAAAAAAAGCATAGAAGAAAAAAGCAACGAATAGAAACATAAATGATCAAACTCTTCATTAGTAGAACAGAACGTTCGCAACTAGACGCAAGAGAGAAAAGAAAAAAGAACATGAGAAATAAGACGAAGATGACATCCGAAAGGCTAAATAATGAAAGAAATGAAAAAGCATCGAGATGTCAATAATTGAACAAGCAAGTAATAATATCTATCATTGGTTTACTATTGATTTAGAACGTAGATATATATAATTGTTTATATTCGTCTATCTCTTTTGTCTTTTTTTTTCTTTCTTTTGATCTTATTTTAGATCGTAATGGAAATTTGGCTTTGAGTGGTATGAGAAAACTAACAATATTAAATAGAATATTCCAATGCGAATGTCCCTCAAGTGTCTAGTATTCTATTTGATATTTGGCGTTATTTTACTTAATCTTTATTTTCTCGGTCAACTCTATTTTCATTATGAAAATAATCAAGAAACTAAACAACATCAAAATCAACATCAACATCAACATCAACATTCAAATGATTTTTTTTCTATTAATGACAAACGAAATGAACTAGTCAATCAACCATCATATGAAATGAATAGTCTTAAAAAAAGTAGTGAATTTCTTGTATTGGATTGGACCGGTCATCAACATATTTTTCGAGAACAAGATCCAATTAAATGTAAGTTTATATTTTCCAACATAGAGATCTGCTACTAGTTCTTTCTACACAACTTTATACTAGTGATAAATGGAGCCAGCTGTATTCGTATGGCTGCTAATGTGTTTTTTCATTCATGAATCAAAGAAAATTTTTTTTTTTTTCTAAATATACTCAAATAATTGAATAAGATGAGTATAAACGAAGGAATCATGACATGATTGATATTGAGTTTTTTTCTTATTCATCGTAAGAAAGACTAAAATTTTTCGAAAATATAATTTTCATAGAAAAAGTAATGCATTAAGTTACCATTAATTTTGATCTTGAAATTTTAAAATTTCTATTTTATTTGTATTTAACATAATAATAACATATGATACGTAATTTTTTGAATAGATCAATATCAATTGTATTTTAAGTATAATATCGTTCATAAGATTTATTCGATTTTTGAAAATTTATTTCTTATGTGATTAAAATTTAAAATATTTTCGTGTTGTAAATATTACTTCTTAAATTTTAGATATATCATTTTACCAAAAAAAAACAAAATTTTAAGAATATGATATTGAATTATAACTATTAAATTGATATTTATCGAATTATGAAAAGAATAGCATTTTAGTTTTTTCACTACATTCTTGATCCTAGAATACTAAAATTTTCAAGTTATGCTCCATAATAAGATATGTTTGAAAATACTATATATATATATATATATATTATTGTGTATAATCACAGAATAAAACTGCTGTCTTTTTTTCATCGCTCATCATGAGATTATAAATGTATCGTTACGTTGATTGTGATAAATATAAATTATCAATATACCTTTATTATTGATAAGAAACATCTGCACATTAAAGTTTGATTCTGATACAAATATTCAAAGTTTTCTTTGCATTGATCTGCATTTTAAACGATGCTCCATATTTGGAAGTATAACTTCATAAAGTTGATGTAAACCATTTTAATTGACTTTGCTATTTCGTTGTCTAGATTTGACTCTTTTAGAAAAATAAGATGGAAGTGGATCCAACGTTTTGTTAATAACACATATATTTCAAACATCTTTTCTTTTGTCGATGTTTTTAAAAGAATGATCATTTATTTCTACATATTTTTGTTTCTAATGTCAATGAAATCAAACAATTGATTATCTTTTGTGTTTTTTTTTGTATAAATTTTAGGTGATTTTTCTTATATAACTCGTGATTATTGTGTATCAAAATTTAAATCACTAACAAATGATATTCTCCGTTTAAATCTTACTGAAAGATGTATTCGTTTATTTACATTGACTGTACGTTGGACAGATGATCAATCACGTTTAAAAGAAGCTGATCTTATATCATATCATTCCATTCATATGCCATCAAATAATTTACCAAAATTAGAACGTAATGATAAACGACAACAATATTCAACTGTTTATGTACTTGAAAGTGAAATACATTCATCTGGTGGTCATGATTGGCATGAAATTGATTTTCCCATGTGGTATAATTTAGAACATTCATATCCTGAACCAGCTACATATTTCGATATAAAAACATATCTTGATAAATTATTTGCACCTGTTCGAGTACCATTTTCAAAAAAAACTAAATCAGCACCAATTATATGGATTATATCAAATTGGTAAGAAGAAAAAAACAAATGGTTTCTTTTTTTCTTGTATTTAGTAATTCATTTAATATTTTTTTTAAAGTAATGCTTATAATGGTCGTCAATCATTAGTTCGACAATTAATGTCATACATTCCTATTGATTCATTTGGTGGTTGTCTTAATAATGCTAAATCTGCTGAAGCACAAACACGTGCACAATCAAATTCCGAATTATATGCATCATATAAATTTGTTATATCAATTGAAAATTCCAATTGTGAAGATTATGTTACAGAAAAATTAATTGATGCATTATCATCAACAGCTGTACCTATTGTTGCTAGTCGTGATAGAAAACCTGATTATACACGTTTTGCACCAAATCATTCATATATAAATGTATATGATTATAAAACAGTAAAAGAATTAGCTGATCATTTAAATTATTTATCAAATAATGAAACAGCTTATAATGAATATCTTTGGTTTAGACGGCCACCAGCAAATAAATATGCGGTAAAGAAACAAATTGATAATGATAATTCGTAGATCAGAATCATTCAATCGAATAAGGAAGAATATAGATCATTATTATATAGAATACTATAAATGAAAACAAAAAGAAAAAGGTCTTGTTGTCTTTGATAATGGAAAGTTTATAAGACGCAAAATTTTCAATCTATTTGGATTTTTTCTTCTACTTCCTACTTGACAAAAATGCTCGTAAACTACTTACAAAAACTTTTTATCAAGTGACTATTTGTTCATGAAGTAAAAAGTTCGTATTTATTTTATTTCATCAGATAATTCGAATGAGATAAAAAGGCTATTCTATATAACCCTTTTTCTCTTAAAAAGAAAAAGGTCATGAGTACTAGCAAATTCTTTTACGTAGAATTTTCTCCTGGATATTAGTTTGATTATGTGATTGGGAATAATGTATGATTGAAATACTTAATTTAATTGTAGTCAATTGAATCAAGCAATAAAATATTCATATAATATATAATTATCAAACAAGCTTTTTTCCATTTCTATGCTTGATGAGTTTTCAATCATATAAAATAATAAGAAATTTATACAAATTGAAAATAGAATTCCTTAAAATTATGAATTAATTTCAATGAATGATCTTGAAAACCTTTTTTAATGACTTCATCATATATTCTTTATTTTAGACATCAGGCATTACTGAACGATCATTAGGTGAAAATCTTCGTTTAGCTGATGAAATATTGGGCAAAAATGCCACGATGCGTCAATGGCTATTAGCTAAGGAAGCTAGTATTAATAAATATTGTAAATTGGTAAAATTTATTCATACAACATATTGGAAATTAATTTATAAACGCAAAAAAAGTAATCGACCAACTCCAAATGAAGTTTGTTTACCAGCGAATGATATAGCTATATATTTTGCTAATTCATCTGTTGCTATTGTAGCTGCTTAAAGAATGAAAGTTTTACATTTCTCCGAGATAAGTTGTGATTTTTCTCTGTGTTTTTGGGGCATATTTTTTCTTTGAATTATTTTGACCAAATAAAATACTTTGATGAAAAATATCTACAGGGTGTTTCAAAAGTTCCTTCCTAAAGTTTTTTTCGTTTCATATCACTATTGATTGGACTTCATCTGACAATTTTTTTTTGGATAATAGATAAATACATAGAGTTTTGATTTCTACAGACAAATTTCAAAAGCATTGTTGAAAGCTAAAGATCTTTAGTTGAAATACAAAAATTTAAACCTGTTTTCTTTTTTCGGGAAAACCTGACATAGAATTTCGTTATTTAATTCTTTCAAGTTATTCAGTCATTCAAATCTTTAAATTGTTCAATATTCGGACAATCTTTTCACGGAATTTTATTTTGATATGTCTTTACAAAAAACGATATGAATGGTGTCAAATCAAAATTCAAGTAATTAAAACACACATCGTCTATGAATATTTGTGAAAAGAAAAACCAGGCTAAATTGTTGTATTTCAGCTAAAGATCTTTAGCTTTCAACTATGCTTTTAAAATCTGTCTGTAGAAATCAAAACTCTATGTGTTTATCTATTATCTAAAAAGAGAAATTGTTAGATGAAGTCCAGTCAATAGTGACATGAAACGAAAAAAACTTTTAGGGAGGGACTTTTGGGACACCCTGTGTGTTTGTATATATATACATATATGTATCTTTTTTTTAATAATAAATTTTTTTCTGTACTAATGATTGAATGTCAATAGAGTATGATAAAAAAAATTATAATAAACAATAGAAAATGATTCAATTGTAAAAATGATTGATATTTATTTTGAAAAAATAATTTTTATTTTGTGTTTGATGCAATAGATTAATTCATTTTTCTAAAAGGTTTTGTTCGAATTATCAGTGCAAACAATATGATATCAACAATTTCTATTACTTGCTAAATGACATTATCTGACAATCGAATCAATTGAATGATGAAAAGACTGTTGATCACTATTCAAATAATTGTGTTTTGCTTGAATCTATGAATATTTTATTGTACTTTTATCTGTAGAACATATACGAGACAAATTTGATGGAACGATGGTAAACTTAGCAATCATTCTGTAGAAAGAACAATATTCAGTGGCCGTCAAAATAATCGAATCAATAGATAATTTTATTTTGTTGTGTGTATATCTTAGAAGCTAAGTGACTCAGAATGATCTACTTTTCATCAGATTACAGCCTATACTTTCTAGTGTATTAGTAAAAATTTTTAGATCAATCCATTGATCTGTTGCATGTTTAATGAAGATACAATCATAGCATGTCATTTTTTCATCCTTCTATAGTTATCCACTCACTTCATTTTGCAAACAGTGGTGCGCTAATCCTAAGTTGAAATTTTCTTTATGATAAATAATTCAAAAGAATCACTTTTGCTCTACTTAAAGAATACTTTTTATCGTAGCTTTTCTTTGAATCAAAGTTAAGGAACAATATTCTTTTGTTCTATACCGGAAATTTTCAACAACAAAATAAGACAAGACATTTATTTTGCATATGATGTTTAATCTATTTATTATTCAATATAGCATTCGTAGAAGCACTAAAAATTGCATGAAATTCTCTATTTTAATGAATAGTTAATGTTGAAAAATGCGTAGGCTGTCTCTAATGTATAGGTTAATTACAGATAGAACTTCTTGTACGATCTTATTTACGCATTGATAGAAGCATAGAAAATTATTTTAACAACATAAATTTGTAGGAAATTATTTTCCGTGCGAAATTCTTATATTTGTAATCATAATCGATCACATATTATATAAGTTATATGTTTTTGTTACATCATAAGTAACAGGAGTAAAAACCTACCGACAGTCTCAGCAACAGACTGAATATGTATCTTACCAAACAAAGATGCATCATATGAAACTTAACAAAGTACGTTGTTCTATTTATCAGTCTCTATCTACATAGGCGTAACGTGTAAAAATTAACTAGGTAGTTAATGTGATCTGCACTAAAGTTGTTGTTAGAACTACGGTAAACTTGCGAGTTCTGCTATTTATAATGTAAAAAACGGTATCTAACGTAAGTGATACAATCGCTTTTGATTTCAAACATAAGGGTTTTGTATGGAACATGATTTTCTACGGATCTGCGCTGTTAAAACAAATTTTTATAGTTCCTTCAATGCGTAAATGAGACCGTACAAGAAGATCCATCTGTGAATAGTCCATACATAGGAAATGACCGACACAATTCTTCAATATCAATTAAAATACGATATCTCATGCAATTTGTAGTACGCGTGCAAATGTTATAGTAAACAATAAATTGGTTAAAAATGATATGAAAAATAAATGTCGCATCTCGTTTTGTCGTGGAAAATTTATGGGATGATTATAGAAGGATGAAAAAAACGACATGCTTTGATGATATTGTCAACAAAAATTAAATAGATCACTGAGTTGATCCGAAATTTTTTGCTTGTATACTAGACAGTATGAGCTGTAATTCGATGAGAACCAGATTGTTCTAGGTCATTTAACTTTTGAGATATACACATAATAAAAAAAAACTATCTACTGGTTGGATAATTCTGACAGCCTTTGTTTGTAATATTTACCCGTTTGCGTCGCTACTTCGTTTGAAATTAGTTACAATCTGTTGATTTCTCTTGTGATTTGCTTACAAAGTAAAATTATTATTCTTGAATGTTGACACATATCGATAGTTTTTTACTTGATGAAACATTTTCTGATTCATTTCATATATCTTATGTGACATTTGTTGGTAGAAATCGAATAACGGTTGAGCAACATATATGTTTTGATTTCAATCTTTCAATTTCATGAATAGTTAATAATGAAATATTAGGCAGTTGTTGATCAATCTTTGTTTAAGAAAAACCTGTTAGTGCAAGCTTCGGAGGATTAAAATATGCAAAACAATGGGCCTGCATATATTGTAAATGAAGAGACTCAGTAGCATATACTTTGATTTGTAACTTTCATTGTACTGATACTTTCGTAATGAAAGATATAATTCGTAGTATGTCAGTCTTTCATAATAATTTCCCATGGGTAAGTTAGCCAGAAGGTTGATGAATTTAGTTTACGTTATTTTTTTAATATGACTACTGATATTTGGATTGTTGATGAAAGATCTGTTAGTTAATCAGTTATTACTGTTTTATATGATTTAATAAAATAACTTTGTATCAGAAAAATGCTCTCATTTATTTTTCTACTAATTTTCGACTGGCTTTCATTTGTATACTGTTTCAATTACATTAATTCAATATGGATACTCATCATCGCATCATATATTAAATTTTATCAGTGATTATTGATTGAATGATGCAGTACTTAGTTTTTATTTAATAGAATAATAGGACCTTTTTTTTGTTATATAATAATCAATATAAATTTTTACTATAATAAAATATAAGTACAATACGGATTATAAAAGATAGTATTTTTATTAGTTTCAGAAGACATAATTTGAAAGGACAGTCTAACCAGAAAGAAATTATCAAAATCGTGCATAATAAAAGAAACTTCTTAATTATTTATAATACGAGATCATAGAATTATATATTTATAAAGCGTCATGCTCATATCATTTCATAATGCCATTGAATAGATTTGAATAAGGTAAGGTAGAGAATATTTTACAACTATCATAACTTCTCAGTCAGATAAATTTTCACAAACTGTTTAATTTTTATAATATTTTAAATGTGAAATCCATTTTTTTTTACAAAATATAACATAAATATGTTTTTTTGTCTTAGAATTTAAACAATAAAGAAACATTATTTGATTAGCATCGTAGTAAATTTTTTTTAGCTAATAAAATTTTGATGAGAAATCATCAATTGATTGAACGAAAAACTAATAAATCTCTGAGTTCCTTTGTCACTCACTCTATAAAAAAGTGCATTAAACTTTGTCAATTAACCTATTAAATCTTGAAGATGATAGCGTACAAATAGTTTTTTTATTATTTCTTTTTTGATTGATTTAAAAATCAAAATTTTTCGCATTGATGCTGACATTTAGAGCGTTATCATTTTTCCGATCGTATCAAGTGTTATCGTTTTCGAATGGCTGTTAACGATCATTATTTTGCCTTTTTGTTATAAATCTGTATTGATAGACGTAGAACTCGCGTATATTTCAAAAGAAAATAGTGAATGTAAGTTTTAAATCCATGTTTTGTAGCTCCCAATTATAGGCCTGAGCAACCTGGATTAAAGGTGTTGAACGACATTAAGAACAAAGTTTAGAAGAATGTAGAACATTCCAGAATCTTACTGAAAATTTCAATGACTGAAATACATTTTTTAATATTCTAAATAATGAAGTTTCTGATTTTTGCACAGATAAACGGTTATATGAGAGATGTCAAGGATGATATTTTTTGATTTCCCACAACTGTCATATGAAAAACACAAAAGCATGAACTTGTTAAGTTTTAACTTTTGGAAATAATCAATTTCAACGTTTCTGCGTTCATCAAGATACGTAATAGATCGTTAAGAGCTTCTGTAGATATAACAAATATTTACAACAGACTTATTTGTCTATTATATCAATCGTTAGATTAATAATAATACATTATAGAAATGAAAATTAAAAAAATAAATACCAAGTGAATAACAACAAGACCAATAAAAAAAGAAAACAAAATCTCTATTCGAAATGTAGAAATAGGAAAGAGACAGCTTTGGCTAAGTATAGATTATCATCGGAAAAAAACTAACATCTTTTAGAGATTTTACATTTTGTGCATTTTGTATTAGCATAATGACGCTAAAGAAAACATATGAATTCCATATTTCAGTCTCAAAGGAACTGCGCTAACAAGCTTTTAAATACATATTGTTTTCCCACAATAGAATAGAATTAATGAAGTAAGAAAAAGCCGATAAAAATAAGTCAAGAATTGTCAAGATAATAATAAATTGAATAGAAAATGATTTGCATAACAATTTGTTATAGTAAAACTTAATGACAGTCGAAAAGTTTCGACCCCTCTCAGTAAATCAATGATATCCATGATAAACCTATGTATAGTTAATTGATCGAAATATGTAATTTTGTAGAGAAGGATTAGAGCTGTCATCTGAAGAAAAAGAGACTTCGAAATGCATAAATGTATTACAATATTATGGTCATTTTACTCATCTTGAGTGAACATTATCATCTCACATTTTTTGAGAAAAATTTCAAAAAAAATTTTAACAATGATAGTTGCATGTATTTTGCTGACAGAGTTTTTTTTATTAGACTTATCATTTCAATGGAATGGTATTCATCCTATTTGTTGATGATGATTACAGTTTTATAACACGTCATATTGTTAAAGGCCTTCATATTAACAGTCTTATCCGATGAAGTTTACTGTTTTCAATTCATTCTTTAATATACTAGTTGCTTATATTTACCTTTCCAATAGTTTTTAAAGTTTTATTAAAAAATCTTCGTTATTCATTTCAAAGCCAAATAAGTGACATGTAATCAATAGAAAATTTATCAGGTGTCATTCGACAAGATTTAAGTGAATATGAAGATGTCAATTAAAAAATTATTGATATATGGAAAAATTTTAGTACAGAAAAGTCTGAGACAATGGTTAATAGTATTTTAAAAAGATTAAAAGCGATTGTCCGAAAACGGGGTTAGTGTATCACAAAATTTGATTATTGATATTTATACAAAAACTTATAAATCATTAAGATATTTTCTTGAAAAAATATGTTTTTTTTTATTTTTCAAAAAAAATATAAGACCAAAATATTCACTCCAGATTAGTAAAATGACCATAACATCCTATGACATTTATGTATTTCGAAGTACCTTTTCTTCCACATGACAGCTCTAATCTTCCTCTACAAAATTATATATTTCGATCAATTAACCATATACAGGTTTATCGTATATATCATCAATTTATTAAGAGGGGTCGATACTTTTCAACCACCCTTTAATAAGCCTAGTAATTTATCAAAAATAACCATTAAGTCTCATTCGACAAGAATCAATAAAAATACCTAACAACAACAAGAATATTACTATAGAATAAATAATCTTGAAGAAGACTGAATAATGAAACGTGAAATTTAATGACAGTGGGTGTTTTTTTTTACCTTTTCTACTTAATAACTTCTTTACATTGAATAGTCTATTCACCATTATCATACTATTCTATTGAATGCAATTTTTTTCCCTAGAACATTTGCAGATAATATTATTAAATTATGTATCAGTTCATCAATATTTTTCTTCATCAATTTCTATTAGTAAATCTCTCATAAGAACTTGAATAATTGAAATAATCTTATCCAATAGGTTGATATAGCCTACGCTTAAAGCGTCTTTTCTAAAACATTCATCGAAATATATGCATAAAACGATTAAATAGTTGAAGAATAGTCGTGCGTTTGTAGGTGTTTTCGCATGCTTTTGACATCAAAGAAATTTATTAACTATTAGTACTTTTTTAAAAAGCTTGTTATGACAAAATTTAAAACTTCTAGACAATGAACTTTCTATTTATTTATTCTATATGGTCGAATAAACTATATCGAATTATAAACAAAAAAAAACATGATTTTCTTATTTTCTGTAAGTTAGATTCAAGAAAATTTTATTAATAAAATTAACAAAATTCTATATATGCTTGCCAGATGTATAACTAAATAAACTGTTTTAAAACTTGACTTCTAATTTTCCACATAAAATTGAATAAGAAAATAAATTTTTAATATTATTCGAACTAATATACGATGCAAAAATTTTTGCAAAAATGTCAAACTCCGCTATACCATATTGTCGATTTATAAATCAAGAAAATTTTTCTTTTGTTAGAAAGAACAATGTCTGAACTACAAATTTTATATCAGACATATTTTTCCACAACCACCTTAACGAGGAGGAAAAGCCTAAAACCAAACACCTAAACAAATTTTTGCAACTTCATTATTGAGCAACGACATTTTTTTATTTTCTGCTAATTACTTTTTATATCAGAAGGGAAATGGAAGAACACACTTAATGCTGATTTTTGTAGTGTAATGAATGCCTCTTTCAAACGTGTGTAGGAAATTAAATTTATGCTTAGTTTTGATACGAAATATTGCTTTTTCTAAAAAACAAGACTGAGTAAGTTGCTCGTACTTAATACCAGACTGTTTTGCAACGGTAATAAAATGCTTTTTGTATTATTTTCTCTGTTAAATTTCTATAATCTGAAATATTTCAAACAAATAATACAAAAAGAATTTAGTTCATGCATAATTTCTGATGACGATAACTGATGATCTTGCAAACTGATAAAGAGTATTTCGTAAGTTTTGATCTTCTTTTTATTTTTATTTTTGTATCTTGACCGTATTTGAAGGTGAAAGGATATTGAATATATGTATTTGAAGCGTAGCATATAAGCTATCAGTCACGAGAAATTAGACTTAATTTACATCAACTTAAAGAAAATACTACATTGATAAAAAGAATATCGAAAACATTTAATCAAAATCATGTTTTCGACGTAGTCGAACGTTGCAGAATTTCATTTTTAATGAGCCGTATCTTCATGAGGGAAAAAGCAAATACTCTGAAATTTTCATTATAGATGGATTCTTATTAGCTCTACTATTCATGAAAACTTCATTCGTTTTGGTACAGTCAAAACCGAGTTATTCTCGAAATAGCGACCACTACAGAATCTCACAAAAATTCAAAATTTCATAATGATTAGTATTTAGAGAATAACTTGGCATTGACTGTACCAAAATGAATGAAAGTTTCATGGATGATAGATCTAATAAGGATCCATCTATAATGAAAACTTCAGGATATTTGCTTTTCTCCTCATGGAGCTACGGCTCACCAAAAACGAAAAAATGAAATTCCGTAACATCCGACCACGTCGAAAAAATGACTTTGATTAAATTTTTTCGATATTATTACCAATATAATATTTTCCTTGAGTTGATGTAAATTGAGTCTAAATTCTCATGGATGATAGCATATGTGCTACTCTTTAAACACATATATTCAATATCCTTCCACCTTCAAATACGACCAAGATACAAAAAGACAACAAAAAGAGGATGGAACTTATGAAAAACGCTGTATAGGCTGTTAAAAGAATTTTCTATTCATTTATCATCTCTATGTTCATTTCATGACGAAAAGTTTTTTCAGAAATGTTGCCGATGCTTCTACTAGAGTAAAACTGCATTTATTGTTTTTTTGCAGCAATGTCAAAATAAAATTTAATTTTGTTCAGCAAGAGATATGAAATATCAAGGAACCCATAAGTTTTTCCTCAAGTCTAGATCATTTATTGACCTTTCGAGTAGTGACCTACCTTTAGTTTAGTACCGATTATACTCTATAACATTATTTTTACGACTTTTGTTGTACAGGTCTCATATTTCTAATTAGTTATAATAGATCTGACGATAGAATCGGATTATCAGTTCAAAGGACACCAATAATGAGATAGTCTCATTTACTCTAACTAGTATCATTTTTTCTTAATTGCAAAAATTCTACTCATGATCCATGTAGATACTATTATATTGAGTTCAATAAGAATGAAAATAACTTATAATAGTATAATATTTGAACAATAGTAAATGATAGTTTTTCTAATGAATTTTATATAGGATATTTCGAATCAAAACTTCAAATATTCTACTTACTTAGATGTTTGATTCAAAATCTTTTTCGATATCTGGTTTGCAAAATAAATAAATCATTTTTGTTTGAGATATTATATTCTAAGATGCAGAATAGACTAATTTTTTTCTGATGACAATCAGTACTTTCTGGATGTCATAAACTATGGAGAGGCATTTTATTACATTTTTTCCATGACTTTTAAAAATCATAACCGCTATAAATATCTCAATAGAGAAACGTAATAATATGTTATTTTGATACGTATGATTTATTATGATAATGGCAAAATAAGTAACTGAGCTTTTTGTTCTATGATACACGTGACGATAGTTTTTCATCTTGTCATTAAGACAAATGAAAAACATTTATATATATGGAATGTGCTCTTGATAATATAAATATGATGAATTCTTTACATATTCATCTTTTATCTTATAGAATTCAATTATTTATATTTTAATATATAAATACACAGACGTTTTTCTTTGTATTTTCATTATCAACTGCTGAAGAGTTCTAATGTTTCTTCGAATATTTGGTCTGTTAGTGATTTCCAGTTGTTTGTTGGTCAATTCTTTAACTCCTGTTTCAGCGGTATATCGAAATGCTGTAATGGGTCTCAAGCTTTATAGATCACATCCATTATATAATCCAGTTACATATTCTTTACTTAATATTCTTATTCATAATAAACAAGCAAAAGCATTTGTTTCTGATGAAGCAATTGAAATGGCTTTAGATGATATAAAAGAATTCGATCAAAAAGCAGCATCAAATAATGAACCATTGTTACGTCAACTTATTTATGGTACTTATTGTAAACGTAATGAAAAAAATTGTGTACGTTCAAATCGAAAAAAAGTAAATCATGTGTCATCAGATCTTGCACAACAAATTTCATTAGCACTTGATGAATATTCTACAGATGACAATCCAGATCGTTATCAAACAATTACTGTATATAATGGAAACAAAGACTGAATATAAAATAAATTAATCAGAGCTTTGTTTGTCAAGGTATTGATGTCAAAATAGCAACTTCTTCATTGTTTACCTTGGACCATATCTAGACATTCATAAGCATTTATCACATTAAAATAAACTAAATCAATATACAACAGTCTTTTTTTTTCTCTTGCAACAAAATGACATAGAAATATATGAAATTTAAAGAAAGTATTTCAGAGCAAAGAATCTTAGATTCCTATCTCACCAAATCTTATAATCTCTCGTGCATAATCAAATTATTTCTGCCAGGAATTTTACAACATTCGATAAGAAATTGTCGGATAACAGATACGACAAGTTCAAAAAATGTTGGAGATATTAAGGCATTGCTAAGATGTGCCGTATTTTCTTTTCATTAAAACAATATCGACTAGAATGAATCTCACGGTCAATGTAACCAACTATACATAACGTCATAAAAAGCCAGATATAAAAGTATTTAGAGTCATCTGACTGTTGTACTGTAACAATCATCATATTTTTCTATTAAATTATTTAATTACACCATTCATATGCATCACTGTTGAGAGAGTTTTAAATAAATGAAATATATCTTTATAATATTCTATTGTCTTACTTTTAGACTTTTCATTTAAAATCAAATTTACATAAAAGAAGAAAAGAATATTTTAATTATGTTTTTTAACTTAGCAAAACATCCTGCAGTCGTGATTTTTGACAGTGTTGACTTAAGAAATTGAGCGGTAAAGGCACTTTTTTGATTAACTGGAAAACAATGAACAAAAAATAACATATACCATAATGTCAAGCTAATAAAAAAAAAAAAGTTCCAAACAGAAACAATGAAAAAAGTCATGTTTTCAGAGTTAGTTTTCTAGAACAAAAATAAATTTGTGTGATTGTTCAGCATTCTCTAATATTTGTATCGCTTTAATGGTCCGAAAAAGTATCAATAGATGTAACATTAGTTTGTGATTGAAATTCTTATCTACTTAGATCGAATAGACATTGTTCTTTTTTTTGCTAATAGTTTAACTTTTGCTGCAATATCATGATAGAAGACATATTATAGAAAATGAAGTATGTTGAATATATCGTAAACTTCTTCGGACAATCAAAAAAGATAAGATTTAACAGATATATTTGTCATCGAATCCGATACGTTTCTCTTGTTACATGTCATTCTATCCCATGAGTGGAATTCTACGATATTCAATTGTCAGAAATCGAAAGATGTCAATACTTTCAAACAGTCAACTCTAACAAGATGTTAACAATCGGATAGGTTAGAAATCCAGTGGGATTCGACCAGAGAATATCAAGTTCCATTTTTTTAGCTCCTCTAAACACATTCACAAGAACTTTGAATTATAACAACAACTCATAAAAACATTATTTGTGCAAACTTTTAGAATATCTTGCATAATCTATTAAAAAAACTGATGTACCAATTTGCTTTGCTAAACCAAGGCATGATGTATATCTCTGACAATTTTTGTTTACACTTTGTTTTTAAATTACGCAGTAAACTTTTTTGTCTTTCACAAACTGAAATTAATTAGAAAGTTGAAAGTATTATGTCATATTTGATACAGAAACCAGCTGCTACTTTAACATTTTATGCACAATTAAAGTTTTACTGAATTTTGTTTGAGTTTTTTCTTCTACATTTCTTTATTTTTTTTAAGATAATAAAAGTATTTACTCAGATCAGTCCAAAGGTAGTGAGAGTGACGCTTTCATACCATGTAGTTACCTTTAAGAAATTTTTTCTCTATATAGTCTGATAGAGAAAAGAATGCTCTATTTTTCTATACTATTTGATTATGCTTTAACTAATATTATAATAATAAAATTTCGATAAGAACTGCTTTGTTCCTATTTTTCACGGTTTACGTAACGCTCATTTTTTAAAAAAGGGCAGATGAGAATTTTTTGAATAACTTCTGTTAAAAACAAGATAGAGAATTGTGGTTTTTACGGTTGGAAAGAGGAGATGAAGATGCATCGAATCGTGTATTACAAAGTTTTCTGATCTGATTTTTTTTTATAAGCTTTTCAATTGACTTTTTTAAGAGCAAACCTGCCTGAGAAGTTGTTTACAGTGAATTTTCAATTATCAAGTATAGATTCAAATCATTGGTCGAAGATCTACAAACTACGGAAATCTTAGATGAATAATATGTACTTTAGTGCAGCTACTAATTCCATTTTTCAGGAATTTCTTTGAGAAAAACTCACTTTTGTCACTTTCTCTTTTCTTGATAAAAAAAGAACATTTTTTGAGAGTTAGAAAATTGAATAAAAATACTTCAGAAATCAATATTAGAAAAATCGAAAATACTTGTTTCGATGTATCTTCATCTTTTCTTTTCAACAATGTAAACCGCAATTCTCTATCTTATTTCTATCAGAAGTTATTTAAAAAATATTGACTAGCATTCGTGTAACCATGACACGGGAATAAAACAATTCTTATCGAAATTCTTATTATGATATTAGTTGAAGTATGATCAAATAGCGTAGAAAAAGAAGCATTCTTTTCTCTATCAGACTATATAGAGGAAAAGCTTCTTAAAGCTTACCACATGGTATAGAAGTGTCACTCTCACTACTTTTGGACTGACCTAAATGTATTCCATATCTTTGTGAATTTCATGAAAAGTTTTTTTATAGAAGAAAAAATCAGTCTTGTAACACATATAATATTTTGAAATATAATTTCAATCGTTTCTTTGCCATTCGTGCTAAAAATGTTGATTAGGAACAATTAGTTCTATTTATGCAAATAAGATAGAATACAAAATTGTGCTCATATTGTACGAGCTTATGCCATCCGATGTTTACTCACTTCAAAAGAAAAATATCAATAAGACTAACCAGGGCGAGTGTGGGTGTGGGGTGTGAGTGTAGGTATAGCACACCTACACATCCACACCCTCGAATGTGGTTCGTTGTGTTCAATGTAATGGTCACCATCACTCGTTATCTAATGAATGTGAAAAGGTCGTAGAACATCGATTCAAATTAAAAGAACAAGTTAATAACGCAATATCAGCAGGCAAACCACATCGATCGGCACCTCAAGATCGTGCTCAGCCGAGGTAGTTTCAGATGAAGCAAAATGATTTTCCTCCAGTACCATCGTTTATATCTCATGCTACTCTATTGAAACTAGTTCCAGCACAATTATCAGTAACAACTAATATGAATGGAAGTGAAGATGCAACAAAAATGTTGTTTTCGATAAATCAAAACATTCTAGATATGAAGGAAAATATTCATCGTATGAATGAAAAATTAGATCGTATCAACGACAAGATTGATTAAACGGCACTCGATGCGGAACTACATCATGAAACACTGATAAAATTAATGGCTACATTTATACCGACAGTTAGTGATTTTGTTTGGCCGGTGATGAATCACAATGTTGCAGAATTGAGAGAAAAACAACCGCAATTACAAAAAATTTTCAATAACTTGGAATCATTACTATCCCATCTAAATCGAATTATACAGCTCAACGAAAACGAAGTACATCTCCACCACCACGACTCTCTTCATCTCAACAACCGTCAAAATCGTCTAACAATACTCCGAACAATGAATTCGATCAAAATAGGAGAAGATAGATGAGTACTACGTTTTCAAATTTAAGAGTAGATGCCAAACCATTTTTTCCTTCTAATACAGCCAACATTAAGGAGATAGCGATGAAACAGTTTGTCAATGGAGATTCCAGACAAAAGATCAGAAACTTGTAGACAAAGTTCTTACAGAATGGTTTACAGCCGGTATCTTAGAAAATATTCTCACACAATTGAAAAGTATATCTTCAGCAGAAGTGCAAAAAGAACAAGTTCTCATGAATATTCTCTGTTATAACTTCAAGGTTGGGGGATCTAGAAGCCTAGAAGTAATCGATATTGTTTATAAAATAGAAGCCTCTGTGTGTATTTTTACCGAAACTGGCGAGTTATGGAATACATCATGAATCCTCATTTCAATATTTTCCACCAACATGGAACATATAAAAGTGGAGATGTGTGTGTAGCAATAGGAAAACATTCAAAAAGATCCAGAATAGATTTTAATGTTGAAAACACAGTTATAGTTGACGTTAATGAATTCTCTAAAACAATTAGAGTAATTACTATTTACTGGCCGGTAGGTCAGACCAGAAATTTAGAAGAATTAGAGCCATATATCATTGTAAATACAATAAGTACTGGTGATTTCAACGCGTCCATAAAAGAATGGGGTAGTGATTCATCAGATATAAGAGATAGAAGTTTGAAAGAATGGGTGGAAAAAAATCTTTGTTACATTCCATCAACATTCCATTCGTCACACGTTCGAATAGAAACATTAATTTAACATTTACAAACATAGGAGAAACAAGAAGAGAAACTCTAAAAATGGGTACTAGTGATCACTAGCCTATAATGATAACCAGTCAGAATGTGGAACTTGATAAGAATAAAATGTTTCTCCATGTGCACTGACTGGAAGGCGTGCAAAACCATTCTCACGTTGTTACAGGAATTTTGAATAAAGGAGCAAAATAGAGGGATGCAAGCTGATGAGTGGTATATAAACTATGTGCGCTTTCTTGCTGCTCTAAAAAACAGACTTACACAGTGGATACAAAAAGAAAAATTCCGATCAGCATTGCCCCTTATTGTATTCAGAAGCTGAAAGAAGTAAAAACAGTAAGAAATAAATATTATCGTGAGAAAAAAATATTCCATACAAACGAAGAGACAAGAATGCTGTTACATGTGTTAACACGTTAAGCAAAAATTGAAATTGCAGAATATAAGTCGAGTAAATGGTAGGAGTTTTTGTCTAAAATTCAAGAAACGTATGACAACATGGATAGAGCATTTTGGTTATATCTCTCTCGAGCATATAAACATAGATCATTACCCTTCTCGAAATTGGATACCGGTAAAACAGTAGAGATAAAAGAGAACGAAATCAGTGATGAGCTTTATCGTTACTATTTTGAACAGTTCAAAACACAAAATACAGATATGTCAGATCCGCATGAACTTCAAATTGAAACAGAGTATTTAGAATTGATGAATAAACTAGTGGTGTTAAATGAAAAAATTGAAGCGACGAATGTTTTAGAGATAAAGAGACATATATCAAAGTTAAAATCAAAAAAATCATCTAGTTTCGATGCAGTGTCCAATTTTATAATCAAACGAATTCCACCGAGTTATATTAGTTGTTTAGCAAATTATTTTAATACTTGGTTAAGCGAATACAGATATGCTGATGTTTGGAGCTTGGCTAAAATTGTTACATTGAATAAATTAAAAGCAGAAGTACCTCCTTGTGATCAGACACGCCCAATTTCACTTTTAGCAACACATTCAAAGTTATTTGAAAAAATTATGCTAGACAGAGTGAGACACTGAGCAGAAACTAATAAATTAATCTCAGTTGAACAGTCGGACTTTCGCTCAGGTTGTCTACTTCCTACTAGAGTTCTATCTATACATCAAGAGGTAAAAAATAATTTGACGACTAATTTTCCAACATTAGCAATATATGTTAACTATCAAAAGGCATAAAATAAAGTGTACTATAAGGGCCTTGTTGTTAAGCTCAATAGATTCGGTATAGCTTTAGGATTATTGAAATTAATCATTTCATGATTAAATGATCGTCGCACGTATGCTAATTTTGGAGAGAATAAATCGAAAATATTTTACACTCATCTTGGTTTGCCTCAAAGCAGTAGTTTGAGTCCATATATCTATTCATTGTCTACCATTGTGATCCTATCGCTTGTGTAGGTGCTCATTCTAGCCACATATTTGCTGATGATCTCAGTGTACTCATATCTCCACGAATATGTCGATGAATTAAGCCGATGATTAAATTTTTAGTAGAAGAAGAAGGAACAAAAATATGTAATAAAATAGCGGATTATTTCAAGAGATAGAAACAACCGGTTAATTTGTCCAAAACAGTCGTGCAGATTTTTCACGCACAAGTACAAGATTCAGTAGTTGATATCTATATGGAAGGTAAAAGATTAGAAGTAGTTAAAAATTCAAACATCTGGGTTTCACTTCGACAAATAAGATGTTCTTAAAACCAATGATTGATAAAACTCTTGAAAACATTCAAAGAACGTACAGTAAATTAAGATAGATGAAAGGTGGGAAAACTCTTTCAAAAGAAATCTTGCGAAGATGTTTCTTTGCTTACAGTTTTCAATATCTTGCATGGATATTTCCCCTATATTTATCCCTACCAAAAACTCAAAAAGAATTATTTTTAAGAAAATTTAGAAACGGATTAAGAATGGTTCATCGATGTCCCTTTGCCAGAGAAACAAATCTTCTTCAGATAACAAATGAAAAGTTATTAGAAGAGTACGTAAAAAGACATATAAAGAAGAGATTAGAACGAATTGAGAAATCAGATTTAGATCGCTCGCCCTTTTACAATGATATATTTTACTGGGACGCATTTTTTAAAAAGTAAGAATGAGCACCTAGAATATTTTTTTCGAATGAAATGAGTTAGACATATGCGTGAAAGGCATTAATCTCTAATTCTTCAATGGCTTGAATTTTTATGTACGCGAAATATGTTTTGTTTGTTCGCTATACTCTCTATCTATTCTGCTTATTCTTTTTTCTCTTCCTTCCTTTTATACACCATTGTAGCATCATCGAAATTGTTCTCATTTTCGGTAACACCAGAACAAATTGTAAAACAATAAAAAAGAAATGTTGATTTTGGTGCCACCAATATTATTGACGTGACACCAGTTATTTAAATCAACAAAATAAAAATAAATCATTACATATTAAGAGTAGCACTAGCTCCCCTAGTCGAAGCTGAATACATGTACTGTTCTACTTCTTTTTCCGCTCATTTAAAATTTTCCTGTTGTAACACCACTATAATTTTCTCCCTTCTTGTGTTGACAAATTCTTTCTCCCTTTGTACTGCTTCTTATTCTCTCTTTTGTTCCTTTATCAATATCGTTTGTACTCGCCTGGTCACTCATTTTTCCGTCCTTTTTGTTGTCTTCTCGCTTACTAACCTTCCTTTGTTTTCTTTATTACATGTTACCAACTAAACATGGCATCTAATAAATCTATTGTGCTTTCCTCTGAATCCTGACATTGGTTAAAAAGGTGTTCCACCGTATATACGCTATACAATTAAGTTGGTGTTCCTTTTCATGTATATAATGTTCCACTGCTAATTAGCGATGATACGCTATATACATGAAAAAGAACATCAGCTTGATTGTATAGCGTATATACGATGGAATATCTGCTTAACCAATCACTTGAATGCTTAATTGTTCATGGTTGTATTAACCAAACAGCCGTGAATGATTACGGTAATTCTTGTAAGCACTTCTGAGTGTAACAATAAAGAGAGAAAAATTTAAAAAAAAGAATCTTTCAATATTCGTTATGTGTGAACTATTTCAAATAGGATGCATCAGCATTTTTTTTGTTTAACTTAGTCGGTCATAACCGTCGAACTTCGATGGGTATTTTCTTCTTTCTTTCTTTCCTTCTTTCTCTCTTTCTCTCTCTCTCTTTCTTCTATTTAAATTACAATCGCCATCCGAATAGAAAGTTAAATAATATTTATCTGTTCTATACAAGCCAACGCATGTTCGACATTGAATAACAAAAAAACATTTAGCTTGTTCTTTGGCTCATTGTCTGTTTCTCTTTTTCATTTCATTTCAAATTACAAATGAATCCATCAAATTGTTCACCATTACTCGTTCACAAAATGTTTCAATCATTATTGTCCAATCCAACTTCGGACTCTTCAAATATGTCTCATCAAAGATTATCTGCATCAACAACAACACAAACTTTAACATCACCTCCTGCAAAAAATTCTATTCGATATATTGAAAATGATCAAAATGGTCGTCGAGAAAAATATGATGGTTATCGTTGGAGACTTGTTTGTACATGGAATACATATGAATGTACAAATATTGCTTGTAGTTATCAATTCTGTACTAAACATAATGCATTACGACGAAATAAAGAATTACCAAAAAGAAAACGAAAACCATTAATAACCCATTCATCATTACCGATCAGTAATAGATCTTTTTTGCTTTTCTTAAAATTGATAATAGAGATTTTAAAAAAATTTTGTTTTAGTGAATCAAAACAATCATAAAAATGTGCATGATGATGATAATGATATTGAAATTCTTGAAGAATATTGTAAGGTAAGAAATAGAAAATTTGATTTGCTTATTTTCTTATTGTATATTTTATATGAATTAATTAGAATCCAACTACTCGTCGTTCTATGAACAGTAATATTAAAGCAGAAGCTTCTGATTTTAATGTATTTTCTGTGGACACTCTCAATGATACTGATGCATTTAATACTGTTAAATCAGAACCACGGGTAATTATTGATATCTTTAAATATTCAATATTATTCCTAAGAATTCTTCGAGAATTATACGTTTTCTCATTATTTCATGAAGAAGATGATATTATTTTCAGCATTTCAAATAATAATAACTAACTGCTCGAATTTGTTTTCATCTTTATCTGACACTTCTCAGATATTCCTATGAAGATAAAACGTAGGAATGAAGATAAATTTAGATAATGTTAATACTAATTTAGAGCTTTTTTTTTTCCTTTGAACTAATCGATCTATCAGTTAAGATATGTTTATAGAAAGATCAATTGATCAATCAACTATTGTAAAAATCATTGACAGGATTATAGATATGTGTCATCTAGATCTAAACATTTTCTCGATATATAACAGATCGAATGTATTCATGTGAAGGCCAGATCATTAATAACAATATGATAAATGATAATCAGATCTGTATAATGTTAATTGTTTTTTCGTTATCGATAACACTTGTCAAAAAATTATTCCATCGGAATGTGATTATATCATACTGTGCAGTGTATATACTTTTTTCTCACTAATGTTGCATTATAAGCTTTTTTTGATTGATAACCATAGTATCAGGAATTTTTCAATCAAGATATAAACTACAATATGTTTATAATTTCATGTTACAATGAAGAGAAACACGTTTCATTTTGTTTATTATGCATGTTGACAGTTTTATTAGATAGGTCATTGATTCTTCTACATAATATATGCAAAGAAGATTAATGGATAAATAATATGAATAAAAAGCTTATTTATTTTTTGTTGAGATAATTATAGCTTGTAGACTATTTATTTCAAAATTTCTGAAATATTTTAACGTTTTTTTTTTTTATCCAAAAATTAATTAATGATTTAAGAAGTCAGTTCTTTACATTATAATGAATAAAGAACTTCTTTCGTAATTATTCGAGGAAATTATAGGAAATCTGTATGATTTCCTAAAATTCAAGGCATTATCTTTCATGAGAGCCTGATGAAGAAGATATGCATACAAAAAATGCATGATAGTAAAACGCTTCTATTTTTTACATGTATCATATTTCAATCAAAGTGAATACTTCTTTTTTGATAAAAATTAGATGTTTTGAAAACAGTTTTCGATCCGGAGATTATTGAAGATAGAGGTCCAAAGTGAGCAGATCTCATCTATTTTCTTTTTAAAGAAAGTTCAATCTATTTACGAGGAATTCTTTAGTATTAGCATGAATACAAATCGAACTTAAATTTATTAAATATCGTTTTGTATAGTCTTGTTTTAGAAGAAGATACTGATGCTGATTGATTTTGAGTTGTAAACGGCCGATCTAGCCCGGTAGAGGATTCCTACTGGTTGGTAAACACAACTTCTTCTTTTGAGTCCTTCCATTTTTTAACATTGCACATAAAAATATCTTTCTTCGCAAATCAAATATTTAAAACTGATGTCGAAAACATTCTGTGACGGAAGATATATACGATTGTTCTATTTAATGAAAGTTCATAGTATACTTAATGTATTTTATTAAGTCACATCGATGTTATCAAAATAAAATAAAATATATGTTTACAATTATAGTTTATTATAAGTCTTCTTGTATTTCCCTACTATTGATAATATATATCGTATACATGGATATAAGAGGCCTTAAAGCGAGTATAACGTACGAAGTAGATTAAGTGAACAATTGCTCAAAAACTAGGAGATTTTTCCATAAAATCTAGTGAGAAACATGAAGGTTTTTTTAAATTTGACTAAAAAGAGAAACTATCAGACAATTCTCTCTAAGAGAAGCAAAACGGTCACTATTACAAACGCTTGTGACTTGTCTTTATCAAATGAGTAATGAGAACAATTATCTTACACGTGAAATAAAGAAAAGAGAGACGCAATCAGATGTATATCTGAAAATCTCAAATAAATCTATCTATATTGATCGTAATACGATGCCAGATCCATGATTTCAGCGAGCATGAAAATGAAAAAAAGGAGATCGATCAGAAGAATGCTAAAAACTACAAAATTGAGCGATTTCATGAGTTTTTAAAGTATTTTTTACTTCGAATTTAGAGCGGCTTTTATTAGAAAAACGTTAATATCTTGATTGATAACGATTGAAACTTATTCCAACCATAACAGAATCGAGTGAACGCGAATTGTGTCATTTTCTGGTGCTCTATGTATTATATTAGAATAGTCATCGAAGAGCACTCAAGATTTATTCTTTCGAGCATCTTGTTTTGAGATTATAAGATATCTCTGTTATAGCTCGCGCAAACACGCTGATTTTTTACCAGTAATAAACACATGTTCACACTCTATATCGATAAAGACAAAGCTAGAGAGAACCTGTTTTAAGTATCATTATTGATTTCAACGAGAAAAAAATACTTTTTCATATAGGAAAAAAAGCAATGCATAATGAAGAGCCAATTTCTCAAGATACAATGTGAATAATCAAATGATTGTTTGATTGAAACGTGTTGCTCATTCATATATCTCTCCTCTTCTAATTTTGTTCCTTTCGCTCTACCATAGTTGAAATTGAGAGTTCACACGGTATGAATGTTGTTTCCTTGTGCACTGGTAGTCATAGTCATGGACTATCTGTCTACATTTGTTTTATGTATTCTTGCTAAGTCTGGTTTTCGTCTATTCTTCATTTTCTATCTTATATTTATTGTGTGACCTTTGTTCCAAGCTCATGTATTTGTAGATGTCGAGATTAATGATAAAAAAAACAACGAATGTCACAAAACAAGTGTAGACAGATCGCAGATGAAAATGACTAACAGTGCACAAGGGAAAAATATTCATATCGTGTGAACTAAAAAATTTCAACTATGATAGAACGCAGTGAGCAGAATTAGAAGAGCAGCGATATATGAATTAATGACAGGTTATAATCAAACAATTATTTGATTATTCACATTTTTTGGTGATAAATTGACTCTTCTTCATCGTACATTGCTTTTTCTTCTATGTGAAAAAGTAATTTCTTTTTGTTGAAGACAATAGTAATACTTAAAAGGAAGTAGATATGTACACTAGGGTATACATAGCCAGATGGCTATGTACGCTCGGATGCACATAGCCAGATGGCTATGTACGCTCAGATACACATAGCCAGTCAGCTATTCGCAACCGAGTGTACATAGCCACTTCCTAGTATAAAACGCTAAAAAAACCAGACTCTTAAGTCGTCAAGGTAGTTATTAGAAGGCAGATATGATCAATCACGAGATTGATTTGGCTATTGGAGAGCCAGAAAAATGAAGAATGATTTATGCCAGTTTATCAGCCCATCTGATCCGGTATCTCCGTGTAGGTCGACATCGTTATCAATATGAAAAAGCCGTACCGATTCCAATCCTGTTTTGACCTATTATTCTTTTTTTCTTTCATTTAGGTTTCAACAAGTTATCCTGTGGCTACACATAATGATATTGAATATATTACCTCAACAACTCGTGCCAATGGATTGAATGTTGCAGAATTAGTGTCAAAAAATATTCCACCATTAACCGAATTTGAAGAAGAATTTATTGCAATTCGTCTAATGGAAAAATTCCGAACAACTTGTCTGATGCTTGATGCACAACTTTTTTTACATAATGAAGCACTTGCTGTTGTGAAAAAAAATTATCGACTAAAGGTAACGATGAAAATATCTGTATCACAAAACGATTTCTATTTGAGAATAGTAAAAAAAAAAAGTCATCATTTCGACAAGAGATATAAACATGGATTGCTCAATGGAAAAAAAAAGAATTTTTATTTTTCAATGCTTATTCATGATCCATATTGTTTTGATAAAATTCACCAAAATATTCAATTGAATGTTTTTTTTCTATAGATGGATACAGTTGCACCGGAATACTTCTATGATTTTCTTCTTCGTCATCCTCGTGTAGCACTTCATTATAGCAATTGGTTTTTACGATGTAAACCTATACCACCAACAACTGGATGTCCAATTGATACAAAAGTATGGACATTAAGTATGATTGTACGAGGTGCAATGGCATCTGATAGTATGAATGATGAATACGCTGAATAATTGAATAATTTTTTTTTTGTTTATCCTTGTTCTTAAATGTTTTTCTGTTCGTTTTGTTTAATGATACTCTATCGTTTCATGTATGTTTCTTTTTTTTGTGGTAGAGATAAGTTATTATACGTTGTGAAGCACTCTACCTATCTATGAAACTTCTTCATGCAACATTGTATATGTTTGTGAACTGAAAAGTACAAAATAAAGCTTACTTGATATGAAAAAATGCAATAACTGAAATAGTTGGTGTTATGGTACTAACGAAATAAATAACAATTAATTTCAGTTATTTTTTTATGAAATATATATATATATATATACGCAATTCATTATCTTTCTTAAGACAACTTTTATATTTACATGTTTATGAAAAGATGAATCGTAAATAAATTGAACATGTTAAAAACATCAGAATTTGAGAATTATCAAAAATTCTTAACATGAGAGCAATCTTGTTTTCCATTTTTCCAAAATAATTGGTCTCTATTGATTTAAGATTTCTTTCTTTTATCGACATGGTTAATAAAGTGAAAGCCAAGAGATAATTTACAGATCAATTTTATTTTTTTGTGAAACATGGTCTAAAAAGTATTGAAGAATAGGGATACAACTTTGGACTTTTCCTGTCTCACAGATCGTGTGTGAATAACGTCTCGTTCTAATATATGGACTACTTCCTCATTGCATTTCTGTAGGATTAAGTAACATGATGATGAAGAACTATGTCCCAAAATATATAGAACAAAGCAATCTTCAGTGATTAACAACAGCAGCTACATCGTGTTTCATATTTTAATCCCATAAGGATTGTGCTAACAGCTTTTGTTTTACCTTCCAAGTACTGTTTCTCTTTATATATTTTACTCAAAATCTGATCAAGTAGTAGATTCGATATATACATAGATCTATGATCTAAAGTCTGACTTATCTCATTACACTTATTAACAATCATTTATAAAACAGGTGACGCATAAACAATGAAGTACTTTTGTAATCAATTCTTGGTTATATTATGAAACCATTGAAAATTTCGAAATAGACTCATTTAATAGAGAATTTAATTTTCTATGAAATCTGCTATTTTAAATTTACAGAACTTAACTATCTTAGAAATAGTATTCAAAAATATATACAGATGTGAATTTCAAAGCTGTGCCACGCTCTTTTCGTCGCGTTTATAAACACCATATGATGTCACTTCAAACGAATATACTCAACATTTGTAATTGACTAGCTAGAATATTTAGTGCTCTATCGATTTTGCTGACTGATAAGTTCATCAGCCTTTCTCAATATTCGCCTACACTCATAATTTGTAATGGAACTGCTTTTGTTTAAATTTTTTTGAAAAATTCAATTTTTCAGTTTTTCGTATGCACGCAAAGTTTTCGTTTAGAAACGAATAAATAAACAATTTAGTTCTGAACAAGTTGGTAGAACTGTAATCCAACATTTCTAGGACTTTTATTAGTCTACAGTCAAAAAAACTGAAGAATGCGAAAGATGTATCCAAGAATACGGTTTTTTTTCGCAAGCATTTGACTATTGTTAAATTCAAAAATTTTTCCTTAAAAACTTACAAATTCAGTTGTGAAAAATGCATGACTAAATCCAGAATTTTCTCATAATGTTAAAACTCACAAAGGATCAGTAGTTGAGATGGAGAACACGTTTTTTTTTTGGAATTTTATGCATGCCCACTTTTGAAATTCAGATCTATGCATATTTTGAATACTTCTCTGAATAAACTAAGCTCTGAAAATTTAACATAGCAGATTCTGTAGAGAATTAAATTCTTTATCGGATGAATCTCTTTTGAAATATTTAGCAGTTAAATAAAGTAGTCTAAAATTGATTACAAAGGTATTTCCTAATTTATGTGCCACTCGTTAAATGTTAGTAAGATAAACGAGCTCAATGTAGTATCCTCTCGAAATATTACTGTTCAGTCATCTCATTATCAAGATTTTAATGTTTCTCAGATTCATGTAGGGAGATTTTTTCTGCTTGATATTCATTGATTCACAAATATCTACTTTTATACGAAGTCAACATCTATATTTTACTTCGTTTTCTTCAGTAACAAATTTTTAGTGATTTTGACCATCCTTTCCTACAATCGAGTTGCTATTGTTTCACTGTCGTTCAAGGAAAAAAGCATACAAAGACAATGTATACGTATGCATATTAGATACGAATATTTAGCTTAATGAAATATAATCATTTCCATTTATTGAATACATATCCGGTGTACACAGGTGTTTTTTAACTGAAACAAATGTGAATAACATACTAACTTAAGACCCAACTTCCTGTCAAAAACATATTTTCATTTGTGAATGACCGATCATGTTGCAACTTTCATGGAAAGCATGTCTCACTCTAGATAGTTCACAGTCAACGTTTTAAAACTAAATATTAAGTTTTTTGGGAGTTATACTAATAAAAAGGATCACATAGTAGATGTTCTTATAGCAAATATTTCTGCTCCAATTGTAGTGATACAGATTTTGGGTTGGTATCAAAGTGTTGCCAAGACCTGCTCGTACAATTTAACAGAGCCATTCATTTGAAAGCCTTTCCGAGCTTTCTAGTATTTAAAACACTCGAAGAATCTTTGACGCACGAGCAAATGAAAATAGAAAAATTTATATTGAGCGAAATACAAAATAAGTTTTAACTTACAAAAATTAAGTTTTTTTCTGACTTTGACAGCTTCTATAAAACATTTGTAAAACCATGAAAACTATTATCAACCCAATAAACAATAGACTTTTCGAAAGTAAATAATACAGGCTATTCAACTACGCAAAAATTTTTAAGCCAAATTTTTTCATAGATATCATGTTTCGGTGACAGAAGAGCTGGTTTTAATAGAAAACTGTACATTAACAGAATTTTTAACACAAATCATACGAATCTCTGAAATGTTTAGAATAGAACTGTCATGCTTCAATAAGAATAAGAAAATAGAACATATGATAGATGCTTACTACTTAACATTGTCCTGTAAATGATACTCTTATGGTGCTCTATCAGATTTCAAATGAATCAATAACTGTCTAGTTCAAAAACTTGAAACATAATCTTTGCTTTCATGTAGCTAAAAAACCCAATGGATCTAGTGATAGGCAGTCATCTCTCTATATGGCATTTGAATGCTAAGAGAACAACAGTAATGACAGCAATATTGTTATCACTACTCAATGCATATGGATAAACAAGATGCATTACAAATGTTACAGACACATGATATTATTATACGAAGCATTGTAAAAATAAAAGTTGTAAATCAAAGATGTCAATCATGAATTTCGCTCTTATCTATTGATCTCAATGATATCTTAGAAATCTGACAAATCGAACTTCAAACATGCACAAAAATTACAATTTTCCATCATTTTAAAACGAATAAACGTTTAGTTATATAACAAATGTTATATCATTAAAAAAATCTCAATTCATATTTTACTTTTGGAAAGAATATATATTGACTTTTATTTTTCCAATTACTGACCGAGTAGAACAAGCCAAAACAAAAGCAAACAGAAAAATATAAATATTTATGACAATTATATACAACAAAAAAAAAGAAAATTAATAGTATGACGGATAATTTGAATATGACAATGGATAACTCGGATAAATGGATGCGGCAGTTGATGACGCATATGTTGAATAATATGGACTAGTCATTGGAGAATATGAGGGACTGGCTGAGCCATAATACATTGAAGATGTTGGTGACCAATAACCTACAAGAGAAATAACATTGTAAATAAATTAACAAATAAAAACTAACCCTTACTTGATGATGGACTAGATGTTATTGATGGATCAAAAACAGTATCACTCATTAAAAATGGTTTCATATCCATAACAGGTGATTCAAGAAAAGATGGTATGGCATTTTCTTCATCATTTGTTAAATTAGATGCGGAAAGATTTGATGTATTCGATGTAGATGCTTTACGAGTACGAGCACGACGATTGCTAAACCATATCTATTAATCAACAGAGACAATAGACTATTGTAAAAGCAAAAACATTATTAAAAACATACTTGAATACGATTTTCTTCAATATTTAAACGTTGTGAAAGTCGTTCACGTGTAGTTACATCTGGATAAGGTATCTGCGAAAATGTTTGTTCAAGTATCTCAATTTGTTCAGCATTAAATGATGAACGATAACGACGTGTATTACTAGTTAAATTTCTAACGGGACGTAATGGTAATGTATCATTAAGTGAATTATCTAAAAAAGATAATGGAAACGATTAATAAAAACAAAAAAAGAATCTCAAGATCATACGAATTTACTTTTGCTTTCATCGGATTCTTCAATTGTTGTTTCTTCATCATTTAATTGTTGTCGATTTGTTTCTTTAACTTGTCGTCGATTAATTGCATTACCAATTGGACCTGGTTTATAAGAACCTGTTTCAGTATAACGAGAAAGAATTTTTGATACACATCCATGAGATACTTGAAGCTAAAAAAAAATAATACGAATACTTTTGAAAAGATTTGCATTATGAATTATCTACTTGACGACTAATTACACATGGACGAATTCCTTGTCTTGCCATTTCAACAATTTCTCGACGAATATGATCAGGTAATGGACGACCATTAATAAAAACTCCACCAAGTTGATTAATACGACCATGACCAGCTAACAAATAATTTTATTTATTTATTTTCTAATGAATAAAATAAATAAAAAAAGGATGCCTTACCAAGAAGAGCTTCTCGTTCTGCTTGTTGATACATTCGATGTCAACCTACAAAAGAGTAAAGTAGAAATTAATATTTAATTTTTTTATAAGAAAAACGAAGCAAGAATGTATGTAACGAATCGTCGATTGTATTCTTGATGATAGTTGAACTTGTTGATATTGATGAATTGATTAACTGTGTTGAAAAAATGAAGATGCACGACTAGTTATAAGAGAGAATAGGTGTGAAAAAAAATTGATAAATAGAAGAGAGAAAGAAAGAAACAACCTGCTGCGTTAATAGATTGATAGAAGATATAGGCTGCTTCCAATTTTCTGATATGTTGTTTTAATCTGTGACGACGATTTGTCTAATTTTTTATTCGATTGTTGATAACAAGCAATCGTCAATGGATGAAATATACTTTACATCATCATCAAGCTGGTGTCATTTTTGTATATTTTATGAAAGATGAATGATCAAACTAATCAACACCTCAGTAGGCGGTTCGTTTTTTTTTGTTTATTAAACTGATGGTCTAAATGAAGACATATGTATGTTTTTTTTTTCTTTGGTTTATGATAAATAAATCTTTCGAAATACTACGAAATGTTATAGATCAATGTAGAAAATCTTTTTTTATTATTATTAGATTTATAATATTGATATTTATTTCTTTGTCGATTACTACAATATCAAAAATAGAATTTTGATTATGATTATGAAAATGTGTTAATGTAAATGAGAATGAGTCCTTAGATAGAATGTTTTAGATTTCGAAGAAGAAGGAATACATTTGGTATTGATTGAATAATAGGAAAACTAAGTTCAATAATATATTTTCAATGAGTTTTTGATAATAAAAATTTGAAAAAGTGTTATTTACTATTAATTATCAAGAAATCAAATTTTCGGAAATGAAATTAATTGATTAATTTCGATTTAGAATAAAAGGCGGCTTGTCGGAAAGATTAGTTTCTTTATTGAACAAAATGGAAATATAATCATATCGATTGGTAATTATCAATTTTTCCAATATGTTATTGATTCGCTCTTGTCGGTGCTGTGTTTCTGATAAGATAAAATCTTTATTTAAAAAAAAAAGCATATGACACAATAAACATTTAACACAATGAGATCATATTTTTTTAGTAAATATCGATCATGGTGATAAACTGGTTTTTGATTATTATTTCTTTCAATTACTACTCTCTATTGCAATGCATAGTAATTGAATATGATAAGATAAAAGAAAGATTATTTATTATTATGTGAAATTATAGAAGTTTAGCGATAAGTTGAAATTGTAATACATGCAAGTGATATTTGTCTAATGCATAGAATTTGAATATAATATACAAATATACATTTATGATTAGTAACTAATCTTCTTGAACCATGTCGTAAACAAATTTATATGATCGAGAACAAAATTGCAGATAATCATACTGTTCGAGATAAACAAGAGTTAAAGAAAAATAATTTTATAGAACTCATAATTTATCTGACATTATCAAAGTGACAAAGAAAAATTTGATATGAAATTCTTTCATATATGAATAAATATTCTTTTTCTGTCGTTGTAAAGAAAAAAACTCCTGTTATGTATCTAAATGAATATCGAGAAACGTCAACATTTATATAAACCAATGCAGTTTAATGTTTTTTTCTGCTATGAATAAGTTATTATTCAAAAAAGAGTAAATCATAATCTATGTTTAAATACATTCTCATATATTTTCTATTTGAGTATCCTTGGTAATTATGTTTTATAATCATTTTTATAATTTATGATTTAAATAATGTCAAAGAATAATGATAATGTAACTAGATATATTAAAATTGAAATTTCTTTCTTCATTATTTATTGAAAAAATATATTGATAGAATCGTAGCTTCCTAATTGCAGTCAAAAATTAAGCTAATTAGTGGAAAATGACCGTTTTTTGGAACCAGTAAAAATTCATTGCTTCGTTTATATTGCGTTTTCAAAACGCGGTCACTTTTTAATTAAGTAGTTATTGCAAAATTGAATCCTAATTTGTGTATGAATGACAAATACAAAATGATGAGAATGAAAGCAACATTTCATTTGACACAATGGATATTAAGTTTACGTGGTCAAAAACGCAAAAGAGTAGTTTTGTATAATAATTTTTTATATTGACTAAAATATGAAAACCAGAATCGTTCATTCATATATGTTTGTACACTTAAATCATGTCCTCATGTGATTACTTTAAAAAACGTTGCAATCTTAAAATGCAATGGTACAAGTCATAATCATCATCCAAAACTAGCCAAAAATGTACAAAATATATTAACTGGATTAAAACGTCTGATATTAGCTGATGCTGATCAGCTGATAGGCAAAATTTACAAAGAAGAAACAAAAAAATTGTGAACATTTGATCTTGTTCATTCGTATAAAAAATTCTTACGAAGTATTTCTCATCGATATATAGATGTATTGAGAGATGCTAAAGATAGTAGTGACGAAGGGTAAATTCTTTGCTTTTTTTGTTTTTTTGTTTTGTTCATATCGCCTCCTTTTAAATGCTTATTATTATTTTGTTAAATAGTTTTTAACTTTTAGTACTTTAAATTTTTTAACTCGATGAATTTCAAACATCATGTCTGGATCCTGACTAATCATCAGGTTTATACACTATTATTGATGGTTCGACTAAAATCATGATTCACCTTGCGCTTCACTTTTTTGTTTAGATTAGTTTCACAATCAGTAATATAATCTTTTTTTTTTTTGAAATATATTTGATATAGCATCGACTGACACTTGAATTCAAATTTTTTAATTCACGATGAGATTAACCAAGTCCTTTATCTTTGATTAAATTCATTTTTCGCTCTAAATCAAGAGCATTGTGAGATACCATGTTTGAGAGACACTGATTGAGAAACTGTTCAAAAAGTGAACGATATCTATTTATCCATTCTTTCTCTTTTTTTTTCTTTTTCGCTTTCATTGAATTCAAACATTGAATCAATTAATCTCTAGATAATCACTTCCACAGCTTCTATCATATACTTTATTCAAGTAGCACCTTTGACTGATATTCACATTGACGAGGTTAATACATACAGACGGGATCACAAAAATATGTTCATAAAGGAGGACTATTCACTGCAAGAAGTTTGACTGTATATTGGATCCAAAAATTGTACATAATATGATTATAGATAAAAAAATAGTATTCCAAATTTTTATTGTTTCATTAAATTAAATTAATCGTTATGAGTTTTGTTTCTCTTTTGAAAAAAATAGTTTTTATATAACAAATAATAGAACAAAGATGATCGACTGAAACTACAAAACAAGGGATTCCGTATTTGAACAGTACTCATCGTTGCAAAATAGAACATGTATTCTCTGTCAAAAAAATGTTGAGGATGAAATTTTATATAATGAACAATGTTTTATTAATTTAGTCATGTCAATAAAAAAATATGAAGTTGTATCAAAGATGCTCTCCATAAAATAAATCATGTTCCTTATTATGTACTTGCGAAGATTAGATAATTAGAAAATGAATATATAGTCTCCTAAGTGTTGAGAAAAGAAAAAAAATGATGAGATCGAGCATAATAATGATATTTAACGGTTCAATAATAAAAGAAAAGTTCAGTTACGTGTTATTTATAATTCAATCAAAGAAATACGCTACTCTTTAATTTCTCTTTGCGTATTCTGGAGTCAATTCTTAAAAAAAGAACTGATTTTACTAATTATAAACTATATTTAATAATGTTCATCTAAGGGTATATCGTTAGACATTGAAAAATATAGAAAAAGTTCATTGGTCTTTTTTTTTTGAACTTTATTTTAAATATCATTGAATGATATAAATGATAAACAATATAATTTATCTTATTGAAGAAAAAATAGCAGAATAATTGAAATATTATCATAGGCTTCTTTAATTCTTAATAAATATCAATGATTGTTAAAACTAGCCATTCAATTCTTTTATCTCATAAAAATTTATTTTATTCTATCGAATATAATGAATATAATCATGAAGAATATTTGATTATTCTTATACATTAGTGAATATTTTGCATCAAATATTATAAACATACCATTCGTTATGACTAAAATTTAAATTTGAATTATAGTGGATTTCATAATGATCATCTAGTGTAATCTTAAAGATTTATTGTACATCTTTTCTTCTTGAAATAGAGAGTATTAATCGTTATACATGAGAGAACTTTGTCTCATGGTTGTGGTCAATTAGAATTTCTCTAGTTTAGTAGTTCTTGCAATTGAGAATAATATTTTCTTTCTGCTGTTCTAAGGATTATGGACAAATATCTTCTAGACAATTTCTTTAAAAAGTTTAGAGAATTTTTTAGCGTTCCTTTCATATAAACTTGTTATTTACTTAATAAATAAATCCCTTCTGACAATTATAGAGCATGATCATACAAGATATACGCTCAAACACGATATATTAAATAAGACTTTTCTTAATCGAGAGCTTATTTAGGAGGGTTATCCATTGCTTAAAAATATACTTGGTTAGATAAATTTTTTCGCTAGAAATTTAATAGACGGTCATCATTATCTTTCTTTATAAAACTATTTCATGATAGTTTTATCAAACTAAATAAAGCGAAGATGACTAATAAAGTTCGTTTCTTAGACGACAATTTAATATATTTTTTCTGAAATTTAAAGAGACTTTATAAAGCTTATTTCTTCGATCATAATAGTGATTTAACAAAAAATCCACGAGAGAATCGCTAGATTTATATTGATTATTGTGATCTCTGTCATGAGTTAGCCGATAAATCTTGTTCAATAATGATGTTAAACATACCAAGCATACGAAATTTCCCATTTCCTGCTAGAAAGATTAACAATTCTTAAAAATATGGAGACATAATACATAGAAACATTATAATAGCATACTTTCCTATTCGCATTGGTTATAGCGAGTAATAGTATAGGTTTTATATTCAAAATTTATAAATAAAACACAAAAATGACAAAGAATTGATGTTCTTGTGCAGCATTTCGAAGGTTAAAA